AGATGTTCCGTTTCCTTCGAGTCAGCGCGGCGTGACGTCGGTATAAAAGCTGGCCTGAGTCTGCCGTCGGTTCGCCCAAATGTCCATGCTGCTCCGAATCCAGCTTCCAGTCACGAGTGGCACCTACGAGTCATCCCAAAACCCAGAGAGACGCAATGAGACGTTTACTGAACACACCTTCAGTATTATTTTACAGCTATAGTTACTTTACTGATTCATTTTGTACGTTGAAATGCAGCCAGCAGTTCCACTACTGCTGCAACCAGCCATTATTTATCTGCCTGTGATTTTTTTGATTAGGAAATGAATCTTGTGTCTATAAAATGTCAGAAACAGTAAAAAAGCAAATATAACTTCCAACATCCCAAAGGTCAGAGAGACGTGTCACCAACGGTTCACAGATGTTACCAACAAAGACAAACCATTAAACGTCATATTCATGAAGCTGTATCCAGCAAAAATGTTTTGGGATTTTTTCAGTAAAATCAACTAAAATCATTGTTTGATTATCGAAATAGTTGGTAGGTTAGATGGTTAAATTTCTGTTGATGAATTAATCAATTAATCGTTTGGCTATAAAATGTAAGGAAAACAGTCCTTCCCAATGTGACATCTTTAACTCCATTGTTTCAAACCGTGGAGGCTGGGATCATGACTCACAACCATTAACTGATGATTTTCTGTCAATCAACTAATCGATTGAGCGACTAATCGCTGCAGTTTCCTCTCTAAACCTCTCCCATGGTTTCATTTCAGGAGCTGTGGAAATGATCATTTTATCAGAACTTCAGCGGGACTTTACGTCAGTGAGCTGCTGCTGTTACTAAAAACTTCTTCCACCACGGAGACAAACAGAAACATCGAAGACCTTCACACTGACCTGTTTCCATGAACATGTACCCAGAAAGCAGCACGGCCCCGAGCGCCCACAGCATCAACCTCCCACGCTGTCCAGCCATTTCTCGAGAAGTCTCCTCCAAAGCTCCGGCCCGGACTCGCTGCTTCTTATTCCCACCTCCTCAGCTCATCAGCGGCCTCCTTCTCACGGTCGTCCATCCACTGCTCCGCATGGCATTTGTCAGAAAACTCAGAGAGGAAATCTCAGGACGGTCCTGACGCGGCGTCGCCGGGCTCAGGTGAGCAGATGGGACTTTGCTGCTGGTGCTGGAGATTTTTTTCTCTTTGCTCTAATCCTATTTGTTAAGCTGCTGGAGTGGATGACTGTCAGAGCCACGGTGCACCAGAGCCACCGCTCAGTCCTGCTGACAGGAAGTCAAATAACATGCTGATTATTCACACAAACAGTCTCATTTCATACAGATCAGCTTCAAAAACCTGAATCTAACTGATAATCAATGTCAGAGACTTCAGGTGTGACAAGTGAGTTCATACCTGGGCGCTGCTACAGCTCTGAAATGGTTAATTTCCCATGATTCACCAGTGTAAGTGGCACATGCTCTAGTCCAAAAACTGGTTACACACAACTTCAGACTGGTTCTTACAAATGTGTTCAAATCATAATTCATCTGATCTTTAGCCCATGAATTTATTTAAATGAAATTAAAGAATGATTATTGATTATTAGTAAGTAACTCTCTATATTCAGTCTGTATAATCAGCATATAAACATGTAATAAATGGTTTATAACAGTAAAATGTAGGTGTAAGCTGAGGTCAGTGTAAAACATATAATGAATAATAATCAACATGAACATTGTCCTAATATCTGTTACAGAAAACCAAAATCTGGCTGGATTACTTACTGCGATTCAGCCGGGATCCAGCCGGGATCCAGCCGGGATCCAGCCGGGATCCAGCCGGGATTCCAATCAGTGCCGACGGAGCCAGGAGTCAGCCAGGTGGTCTTCACGGCAGACTGATCAGAGTGGATTACCTGAAAGACGCTGCAAGGTCACATGACACATTAAAAGGTCAAAGGTGATAATGGAGTGTTCTGTCAGTTTTCACCTGTTTTCACTTCATCAGTTTGAATATTGATAAAAACCGACCATCCATATAAAACCAATCATATAATCATTATTATATATTACATTATATTATATTATACATATAATATTATATTATCACATTCAAACAGAATAACCTGAAGAAAACTTGCAAATAGACGGGTCGTTAAATTAGAATCTGAACTGCTGCTATCGATCAGTTTCCTATAATTAGACCCGTCCTCATCCAGACTGTGCCATCCCCCCCCCCGCCAACACCCTTACCTCCCCTCTGCATCACAGAGTCAACAGTGGCGGACATCTTTTATTGGATGATGGGATAAACAGGAAGGAGAGGAAAATGTTCTGAAATCACACAAATGTTGTTAGTAAAAGTGATTAAAGGTGCTGACGCTGTAATTACAACTGTTTACGGTGTGTTTGAAACCAACAGTGAAACTACTGAGTCCTCCACATCTCCCAGACGGATCCTTCAGAGTCCAGCAGGGATCAGGATCAGTTTTCCATCTTCAGGACTCAGATTATTTTTGGGAGGCAGGATGGAGTCTTCAAAGAGGCTGTAAACTGTCTAATCTTAACCTCCCACTGCTCAGATTAGCCTCCTCTACAGGGCTAAACACGACCACACCACGACGACTGCCAGACCAGAGCCAGACCAGAGCCAGACCAGGACCAGACCAGGACCAGACTAGAGCCAGACCAGAGCCAGACTAGAGCCAGACCAGGGCCAGACCAGGGCCAGACCAGGCCACTATAGCATGATTTCCTGACATTAAAAACATAATAAATGATAAATGAACACATTCATTCACTGTTGGGTTTAAACTTTTTATACACGTGTTCAAACCTCATTAAATACATCATTGAGTGTGATTACAACTACCTTATTTTATCAACCATCTATTACATATTATTATTATTATCATTATATTATATATTATTCATGCTTCATATGAATTTACAAACACATTAAAACATCCCTACATCTGTTTACAACTACTTTATACTGACTGTGTTTATGTTTATATATTTATCACAAGTTCTAAATGGGGTTGAAATAAAGTGTAATGCTGATTAATAATTAATATAATGATAATTATAAATAAATAATGAGTTATTCTCAGGAGGACCTGTTTTGTGTTGTGGTTGTTGTTGTTGTACCCCTCCAGTCTGATCCAGTTAATGAGCTGTAAGCTGATTGGTCCACAGCGGGGGGGCGCTCGAATAAAACCACAAGATTACCAAAGCAGCCAACACACACACACACACACAAACACACAGTTGAATGCACGCGAACCACACAACAGAAACGCTGTGTGTCAGTTAAAATGAACAAATGATAAAAGAACCTGAAACACACACACACACACACACAGAGTAACCCTGTGACCTTTGACCTCGGCTTAGACAAGGACACACTCTCCTCACTGGGAGACAACTCTGATCCATCAACACTGATTAACTATTAATTAACTACTTAATTCATTAAGCTGGAAACTCTATCTCATTACTAGAACCAGCAGCTGCTGCGACTGTAATTATCAATATTAACTATTATATAATGATTATCTGTGAAATTGCGACATCGTTATTAGTTATTATCTATACATTTACTTATCGAATTATTTCTTTAAATTAAAATGTAATTTTAATTCAATATCATCACCATCTTCACCATTATCATCATGATTACTTTCCTCATATGTTTATAATTATTATAATTCATTCATTCATTTTCTACCGCTTATCCTCTAGTAGGGTCGCGGGGGGGCTGGAGCCTATCCCAGCATCCTTTTGGGCGAGAGGCGGGGTACACCCTGGACAGGTCGCCAGTCCATCGCAGGGCACACAGAGACAAACAACCATTCACTCTCACATTCATACCTATGGTCAATTTGGAGTAACCAATCAGCCTAGTCCCCATTTGCATGTCTTTGGACTGTGGGAGGAAGCCGGAGTACCCGGAGAGAACCCACACAAGCACGGGGAGAACATGCAAACTCCACACAGAAAGACCCCGCGCCCGAGCCGGGACTCGAACCCGGAACCTTCTTGCTGTGAGGTGCCAGCGCTAACCACTGCACCACCATGCCGCCCTAATTATTTTAATAAATAATATTATCATCTTTATTGTTGATGAAATTGACACAGAAAATAAACAGTTATGACATTAAATAATCTCATTTTTATCAAGTAATAAATATCAATAATAATAATACTGATGTGATTATATAACACTGATTGTCCCTGAGCTGAAGTTGAAGCTGCTGTCGTACTGGACCAGATGTGTCTGTTGTTTTGTCCTCAGAATATTAGGAACCCCTCTGAATGTAAATATAATGTGGTGCAGCATCTTTCTGTGTGAGCTCACAGCAGCTGGACATTCATAGAGAAGTGTTTTTATAAATGAACAGAAATAAAGTTTGTGTTTTCTAGGACACATCTGGGATCCATTAAGGAGCTTGTTGTTGAATCAGTTCAGCTTCTCTCCCGTGTTTTATCATGTACAACAGTTTTCCATCACAGCTCAGTTTTATTTACATTGAATTCTACGTTTCTGGAGCGACTCGGCTCTTTAACATGAAGCCATTTTCCCTCCAAAACCACAGAACGTTTGTTACTGTTGGACGAGTCTGAGTTTCAAAATAAGAGCTACATTCCTCTGACACACAGGGCCAACTCTGCCAGTGAAGGTTTACAATGACAGTAAATGACAATGAGCCGCCTCGCACGCATTGATGATGATAGAAAGTGATTCACAAGGATTCTACTTTTACTGTATGTTGCTTTTTATCAATAAATTTTAAAATTAAAGCCTGTGAAAAAAGACTGACGGCTCAAAACTAAAATGAACAATTTAATGAGCATGAATTAGAACATCATGAATCTGTTATTAATCAGTTTGTTTGCTGTTGATTAAGAAACACACACAAAAAAATCAATTAAATATTTACGATCAGTCTGATCGTAAATATTTAATTGATCAGTTTGATTACAAAATAAGAGCCACACTCCTGAAAACATCAAAATAAATACATTTTATTTTATAAAAGAGGAACAAAACGTTACAATTGAACATTTTAAGTAAGAAAGTTTATTATAGCAACATGTAAAATTAATATAGAAAAATATAAATTATTTATTGCACAGGTGAGTTAATGGCTCCTGGTTTTTGGTCTCAGTTTTCTTCGTCATGTTGCTGACTCTCGTGCATCCTCATTATCAGACTCCGGATCTCCTTGCGCTTCTGTCGCACTCGTTGCCGCGGAAACCAGTTGTCCAAATGTACCGGGAGTTCGAAGTGCACAACGGGATTCTGCGGAGCCAATCAGAGAGCTCGATTTATTCTAATAATGATTTAAGGAAATGTTGAGCTGCTGTGTGTTTCTCAGCCTTGGATTTCATGCGTCGCATCAAGTTTCACTGTGTTGGCGAAGGAGCCGCAGGGTCTCGTTTATTCACCTGAACATCTGTGTAAGTTACTGTGACGCTGTCCTGACTCAGACCGTCTAAACCCTGAGACTCTATCTGCTGAAGATGTCAGCTTGTTATTTTCAGTCACTTCTGATCAGCAGCTAATGATGAATGACTGATCATTGTCTATTAAACATCTTCACTTTCCTGAAACTAGAACCTTTGGGTTGATTGATTCATTGACTGATGGACTGATAATTAACTAATTGACGCATTTGTTCAGCAGCGGGCCTTCCTTGTTACCTGTAGTTATCACCTGTGGTTATATTTGTCTGTTGTTGTTGTTGTTGTTGTTGTTTTGACCCCTCCCTCCCTGGGACTCACACACAGCATCAGGTGAGTGTTTACCTGCAGGAAGCTCTCGGCGTACTGCAGCAGGTACAGTCCACAGTCGCTGCTGTTGTCCTGCTGAGGAACTCTGCAGTTGGAGCTCCTCATGTTGTCCGAGGTGAAGAGACGAGGCGTCCCCCTGCGCACCTCCCACTCCACCTGCAGGTAGCTACAAACAGCAGGAGGCATCAGACGGTTTGTTTTTCACCTCTATCTGAACACTGTGGCTGCGAGAGACAGAAACTCACTCTCTGAGGAGTCGGCAGACGTTCTCGTGGTACGACAGCTTCAGCGAGTCCATGACGAGGATGCACGGCCTGCAGGGGATCAAGGAAACCGTCACGTTACATCAAAATAAAGGTTTTCACAGGTTCTCTGAATCGGCCTCTGCCCCAGAGACTCACCTCTTCAGCAGTCTGTTCCTCTGACGGCCCTGCTCAGTGCACTCCTACAAAACCAAACAGACCTGGTGTTCATGACGCAGACTGAAGACACACTCACATGACTGATCAACAGCAAACACAGAGCTCAAACCAGCTGTTTCACAGCAGCTGGAACTACAAATACAAATATATAGATAACATGTGAGTTCAACCTCAGCTCAGATTGACACCTAAAAACTAGAACCTCCTCCTCCTCCACTCAGACCAGTTCCAGGTCACATCCTCTTTGTCCAGTCAGAGAGAATATGAACCATTGGTGTGAAGTTGAGGTCACACTGACCTTTGACCACCATGTCTAATCAGTTCATCCTTGAGTCCAGGTGAATGTTTTACTAAATTTGAAGAAGATCTGTGAAGGTGTCACTGAGATATCGTCCACCAGAATGAGAAGGACAACCTGAAAACAAAATGGCTGCCGCTCTGACTGTCACTGGCGTGGAGGTCTTTGTATGTGGAGTGTTCACAATAATAAATTGTTATTATCATTAAGTTAGGGTTACCTCAGCCTCTTGTGGCTGAAAGGAGTATTACAACAACAAGCACTTGTGTGGCCCCTCAGGGCTTCCATAGTTTTCTGTCTTGTTCATTAAGACATGAAACAGTCGGCGTGTGATTGTGCGTTATGCGCTGATGTATTTACCGGAGGTCGTTGTGGTCTCAGACTCATGTGTGGTTTTCCCGCCGCTCGCTCTGATCCACCTGGAACACAGGAACAAGCTGCAGTCTCTGCAGTTCAACAGTTTTTCTTACAAAAGTCAAAACTGAATTCTCTTTTTTTCTTTTTCAATCATGAACATCTGGAAACACATTTCTAAATCAGAGCCCAGACACAGGAAAGGTTTTCTTCTCCATGAAGAGCAGTCTGAATTCTCTCTGAAGGTTTCCTGGTCTTTGTCATGACCTGCTCCTTCCTGTTTCTGACATTTCTGCACCACATTATGAACTGAGGAAACGCTCTGCTGTCCCGTTAGCCTGTTCTAGCCAACTGATTAAAACTTACTGAGAATTCAAATCTCCTGGAACGACCTACAGAAAAATGTGATTAGAACAGGAAAAACATCTGGTCACAACCAGAAAAGGATTTAAAGAAATAATAAAAACTGCTTGTTTTCTTTTCATGGTCAGTCCTCAGCATTTCCTGTAGCTGCTTCACAATAAAAGCCTTGCAGTTTCTTGTGTTTAATAAGAAGCAGCAGGTACAGACACGAAAAAGACATACAGTCACTGAGGCTTCTTCTCAGACACAAGGCTGGACGTGTTCACAGACAGGAAGTCGAAAGAGTCCAAACTCAAACCAGAAACCATGTTTTTTCTAAGTTTAATTATAGACAATAAATAAAGAGATGTCTCTAAAACCAAATGTTGGTGCTCTGATCTTCATAGGAGAAGAACATTTAATCCTTTGTTCCATGTTTGGTGTAAAAGACTCAACATGGAGTTTTAATCAGCACTGAAGGAACACTCTGCTCCAGATACCCCAGATGCCCGAGATAACCCAGATACCCCAGATACCCCAGATGCCCCAGATGCCCCAATCAGCAGCTCACCTGTTCGGCTCTGAAGCTCCTCGTACTGAACCTTCTCCAGACCCGGGAAACACACCACCACCAGGTACCAGTGAGCTCTACGACAAAACAACAGCATGTCAGTCAGGAACTCAGTTCATCAGGAGCCGACCTGCAAGAAAATTACAGAAATGATACAAAAGAGCAAGAAAACGAACAAAAATGGTTTAAAAATGACAGGAAACTGAAATGTAACAGCAGAAAATGAAACAACATCACAAATCTCAGAATAAACGGTGAAAAACAGCAGAGAGATGAAACAATAATCTAAATGATCAGGGGACTGGTGAAGGTGAAGGTTTGGAGCTGCTCCTGAACGACCTGGGTTCTTCTGGTTTTGGTAAAATGAGAGTTCAGTGACACACCGATGAAACAGCTGAGAGAAGATCTGGTAAAGTCATCAGTAATGACCCAGCGGAGGCAACTGAGGCGGTCAGTGTGTTCTCCTGCTGGCAGGGGGAGAAGCTGATGAGGTGATTTTATTTAACTGTCCCGACAGAGCTCCTTGAATCTGGGGCAGAGAGCTGAGCTCAGCGCCGCTGCATCCAGGACCCCTCAGCTTTTATTTTGTAGAGGAACCACTTCCACCTCCAGCAGACCACAGACCACCTCCACCCAGCTCCTCTACGCTTTAATATCACAAGACATCCAATCAGACATTCTCTTACTCTTGATTGACAGGCACAAACAGGAAGTCTTGTGTGAAGATGTCGACATGGCGAGTCCAGGTCTTCACCCTCTGATGCCTCATGTGACGATCTCTGAAAAACAGACGGAGATTCACTGAGTCCACAAAGATCCTCAGATCGTCAGGAGAGGTTTGGATTGGTTGTCTTACGGGACGGAGGGGGTGTCGTCCTCTCCGGCCACTCTGCGTCTGCTCAGTTGTTTGTAGAAGAAACTGCTGAAGACGTGACTCCGCTCGGCTACAGCGCCGCCGACTCCCTCCAGGAGGAGGTACCTGCAGCAGGAGGAGACGATTCAGCACACTGACCCCCCCTCTAGTGGAGACTGAGAGGAAGTACAGCTCAGTTCAGTCTCTGAGTGAAACAGGTAAAAACCAGACCTGTTAATGACTTTCTAACGACTGACACAGGTGAGCACCAGGTGAGAATCAACAGTCGGAGGAACTCTCACTGACTTGAGGTAGAAGTCGATGATGACGTCATTGAGGAACTCGCCGCCGTCCAAACAGGCCAGGTCCTCCTTCGTCACAGAGATCCGGCCTCTGCAGGGCGCTGCAGGATACTGGATCAGCCTGAGGAACAAGAACAGGGATCAATCTCAATCAGAACCAGAACCAGAACCAGAACCAGAACCTGCTCAGAGCTTCAGGACTCGCTGGTCTGACCTGGTAGGAAGCTGCTGCAGACCAGAAGAGTTCAGGCTGGACTTCTTACTCCTCTGACTGCTCCTCACCTCCCTGGACTTCTCCTGCAGAAGAGGAGGGAACAGCAACTTTACTAATCGCTGACTCGACTATCAATAACATGGCTGATTAGGTTTGTTTTGATCAACTAATCAATGCAGCTCTAAACGACTTCAGCATCACATTTCAAAACATCATCTATCAACATTTAACTGAGGCGGGAGGACAGATGACACACCCCCATCAGGAAGAGGAGGAGGCAGGAGGTGAAGGAAGGAAGGAGTCTTACTGCAGAGTGTCCCAACAGTCCCAGGAGGTGCTGGTCCAGAGGAGGAGGACAGCTGTGAAGGAGCAGAAGCCCGTCGGTCCAGTCCAGAGGGGAGGTCGGCCCGCCAGAGGAGGGGGAGGAGGAGGAGGAGGAGCGTCCCTTCTTGTACTCCTCCATGTCCAGGATGGAGGCCAGCAGGGCAGCATGGAGCTCCTGCAGCTGCTCCTTCAACACCACCAGGAGGAAGGAGCATGAAGGACCTGAAGAGACCAGGAGGGACCAGGAGGAGGCAGGAAAGACCAGGAGGGACCAGGAGGAACCAGGAGGGACCAGGAGGAACCAGGAGGAGGCAAGAGGCAGGAGGGACCAGGAGGAGGCAGGAGGGACCAGGAGGGACCAAGAGGAACCAGGAGGGACCAGGAGGAGGCAGGAGGCAGGAGGGACCAGGAGGGACCAGGAGGAGGCAGGAAAGACCAGGAGTGACCAGGAGGAACCAGGAGGGACCACGAGGAGCCAGGAGGGACCAGGAGGGAGCAAGAGGAACCAGGAGGGAGCAGGAGGAGGCAGGAGGGACCAGGAGGAGGCAGGAGGGACCAGGAGGAGGCAGGAGGCAGGAGGGACCAGGAGGGACCAGGAGGAGGCAGGAAAGACCAGGAGGGACCAGGAGGAACCAGGAGGGACCAGGAGGAACCAGGAGGGACCAGGAGGGACCAAGAGGAACCAGGAGGGATCAGGAGGAGGCAGGAGGGACCAGGAGGAGGCAGGAGGGACCAGGAGGAGGCAGGAGGCAGGAGGGACCAGGAGGGACCAGGAGGAGGCAGGAAAGACCAGGAGTGACCAGGAGGAACCAGGAGGGACCAGGAGGAACCAGGAGGGACCAGGAGGGACCAAGAGGAACCAGGAGGGATCAGGAGGAGGCAGGAGGGAGCAGGAGGGACCAGGAGGGACCAGGAGGGACCAGGAGGAGGCAGGAAAGACCAGGAGGGACCAGGAGGGACCAGGAGGAACCAGGAGGAACCAGGAGGGACCAGGAGGAGGCAGGAGGGACCAGGAGGGACCAAGAGGAACCAGGAGGGACCAAGAGGAACCAGGAGGCAGGAGGAACCAGGAGGGACCAAGAGGAACCAGGAGGGACCAGGAGGAGGCAGGAGGTTTTCGTCCAACATGAATATTACAGATTTAAAAACAAGTTTAAGTTTTTCATTAAAATTTAAACAAAAATTTAATTTAATTTGATCAATCTCTTGACCAACTGGTCCAGTCTATGACCAGTCTGAAGACGTACTGGCACATCTATCAGCCCAGTCTGACCAGCTTAACCAGTGTAACCAGTGGTTACACAGACAACAACCAGTGTCAGCCCAGTTTGACCAGTACCAGTACTACATTAATGTCAGTTCATGCAGAAATTGTTTTTGATGACTCTTCTGGTTCAGGGAAACGGCGTCAGAGTGAGCGCTCCTGCATTTTATTTGACTGATCAAAAACAGAGTGTGTGATGGAAATGACTTCATCTGACCCGCTCTGAGCCATCGCCGTAGGTCGTGTTGTTCTGACTCTGACAGGAGCTGAAGTGAAGTGTCAGGTGTATCAGAGGGGAGGGGCTTGTTTACCTGAGGCAGTGGAGGTCCGCATGGCCGACAGCTCTCTGTGCAGCAGGTTGGCCTGAGCATCCGTCACCCACAGGAAGAGCAGCGAGGGGGCCGGACCTTCCCAACCGGTCAGCAGAGCCCCGCCCTGAGCCACGCCTCCATCCCAAACGCCATAACCTCGAACCTGAGACGCCACCACGGTCACTTCCCATTGCTCCAATCCTGACACTGAGACATGAGACATGTTTCTTCTTTGAATCTTTCATCATATTTATTCAGATGAAACCAGCTGTTAAACTTCAGACGAATGAAGAAATCTCAGCTGTCGCCAATTAAGTTTAAACATTTCTGTAAAAGTCGTTAAAGAGTCAAATCAAATCAGTTCAGGGAACAAGTGACACAGCATATTAATGTAATATTTTGAAAATAGAGTTTTAATTTAAAGAAAAACAAATGAATGTTTTGATGGAAAATGTTGAAATAAAAACTAAATTATTTCAAGAAAAAGTTTGTGACATTTTCAGTTGAAATAGTTTGATGGAAAAAGTCAGAATTTCAAGATAAAATATTTGTTAAATATAATATATAGATATAATATAATATCTTGAGAGAAAAACAGTCATATTATATATTTATCTGAGTATTACTCAAATAAAAAGAATGTGTTGAAGGACTTTTACCTTTCAGAGGAACAGTGATGCCGTCTTCAGTGATCTACACAGAGAGAGAGAAGATCAATCTGTTATCTAATTATCCTCCACACTGTCTGTTTTAAATGAAATCAAATTATTAATAAAACTTCTTGGAGGAAATTTGACATAAAAGACAAACGTGTCTTTGGTCGTTGTCATTATGTCAGTCTTCGTTATTACGGTTGTGTGTGTTTTATAATTAGTGTTTCTGTCTGAGTGTAGCTGCGGTGTTCTTCCTCTTGTTTTGCTGTTTGTTGATGAGCTCGTTGGATATTAAAATGTGTAAATGCACATATGTGAGCAGTCCTCTGACCTCTGACCTCTCTCACACCGAGGCGTGACTTTCACAGCTTGTCTCAGGATGTTTCATGCAGTCGGCTGTAGGTCTCTGGATAAAGTGTTAGATAAACTACCAGACATCACGACCATCAAATAAAATACTGTCAGGCAGATTCTCTGACACGCTGACCCACTAACCTCTTCCTGTCCTGCCCTCCTGGTTTTTACGGCGCTCTAATTAAAGCCGGCGCTGCGCCATCAGACCTCATGCTGCGACTTCATTGCTCGTTAATGACTGAAACTTTAGCGTTTTACAGCCTCCGTGGGAGTTCGGAGTTTCTCTGCTCTTACGCCACACTTTGACTCTCTTCCCGCTGCATTGCCACAGGGGCTTTCAGGTGCCGTTGCCATGACGATGGTTTGGTGTTTTATGCCAAAACGATTTAGGTGTTTTCCAATGAGACTCCTGAGTTCATCCAAAGTTGTCAGAGTTTTGGCTGAAAGTCAAGTTTCATTATACTGACGGATTTAGTGTAAGTGAGGTGGTGTGAACACACACACACAGACACAGACACACACACACACAGACACACACAGACACGCACACACACACACACACACACAAAATAAAACAAACATAAACACTGGAAAACACATGTGAATTATTAAAACTACAGTACAAGCAACAGAATACAATTATGGGTGTGTGTGTGTGTTCGTGTGTGTGTGAGAGATCTGGAACAGGACATGGAAAAAGAAAAGACGGTGAAAACATTGAGTTGGTGCAGAAACTCTGGAACGTCCAACAGCAGCTGCCTGGCAGTAAATGCACCACTCAAAGTGTTCATACTGACCTGAGCACACATTTAACATGGTTTGTGACTGAAGTGATAATATATATAAAAATATAAATAAAGTTTTCTTGAAATGTTTCTTCCTGGTCACTGCTCTGAAAAACTTTATGAAACATGATTTATTGGAGAAATAGAACAAGAGAAGTTGTAAAATAGAAAAATCAACATGTAGAAAATGTAAATATCTGTCGGGTGTGAAGACGCTGTGGTTCAGTCCATGATCGGCGAGGAGACGACCTCATAGATTTCTGAAGACACTTTTCTAACGTGTCAAGTAAAAATCTGGTAAACGTCAGCTGTACTCACCATTATCGTCCCGCTGGCGTCGGCGTGTGTCAGGCCGGCGTGAAGCGAGGAGAACTCCAGCTGCAGGAAGGAAGGTGGCGTCAGCAGCGGCTTGTCGAGACCTCCTTCAGCTCTGGACGAACAGACCTGTTGACCCTGTCAGACGACACCCAGGTACACAGTCAACACACGGGTACTTCCCTCAGGATGTCTCAGGTCAGGCTGCACATTCACACTGCAGTGATTCTAGAGGAGGATTCAGTCTGATGATGCAGAGTTTCCCACTACCAATGTCAATAATCAATAACATTAATAATCAGGTATCAATAGTTTCTATAAGAAGTTTATCTGTTGTTTCCTGTGGGGTCACCAGAGGAGAGTCCTCAGGTGTTAACAGTTCACCCACAGTGAGGATGACTTCTTTCATCAGAGGAAAGTGTTGACATCAAACAGAAGGTCAAGTGACCTAGGACCATTGTGTTTCAGTCAGACACTAACGACCCTAACGACTTTAGACAGAGTAAGAAAAGAAAAAGACTTGATGCGAGTAATAAAACGTAATAAAGTGAATTTCGTCTTCTTTAGTTGGAAACAGATCTGGGTCACGTTCAGCTGGTGAACACTGTCATTAAGATTGTCAGCTGGTTTCAGTAAACACAACAACAAACACTAAGACAGTCCATTCAGTCCATTTGGATCTGCTCACAGCCCCACAGGGTTCTGATGCTCTACAGGGTCTACAGAGACCAGACCAGAGACCAGAGACCAGAGACAAGAGACCAGACCAGAGACCAGACCAGAGACAAGAGACCAGACCAGAGACCAGACCAGAGACAAGAGACCAGAGACCAGAGACAAAAGACCAGACCAGAGACCAGACCAGAGAGAAGAGACCAGACCAGAGACCAGAGACCAGACCAGAGACAAAAGACCAGACCAGAGACCAGACCAGAGAGAAGAGACCAGACCAGAGACCAGAGCAGAGACAAGAGACCAGAGACAAGAGACCAGAGACCAGACCAGAGACCAGAGAGAAGAGAGCAGACCAAAGACCAGAGACCAGAGACAAGAGACCAGACCAGAGACCAGACCAGAGACAAGAGACCAGACCAGAGACCAGACCAGAGACAAGAGACCAGACCAGAGACCAGACCAGAGACAAGAGACCAGACCAGAGACCAGACCAGAGACAAGAGACCAGACCAGAGACCAGACCAGAGACAAGAGACCAGACCAGAGACCAGAGAGAAGAGACCAGACCAGAGACCAGACCAGAGACAAGAGACCAGACCAGAGACCAGACCAGAGACAAGAGACCAGACCAGAGACCAGACCAGAGACAAGAGACCAGACCAGAGACCAGACCAGAGACAAGAGACCAGACCAGAGACCAGACCAGAGACAAGAGACCAGACCAGAGACCAGAGACCAGAGACCAGAGACCAGACCACAGACCAGAGACAGTAATCACCAGAGCCCAAAATGATCCTGTTTTCTATCAATATGTTGTTGAACAAACATAACCTGATCATCATAATGAGTATCCTGTGTCAGGACTTCAGGGCTCTGAGATACAGAAGACAAAGAGATGATAGATGCAGATATTTCATCTGTTGTTTTGACAGAATACTAAACTGAGTTTCTGGGTTTGGGGGATCAGATGAGTCCACCAGATGAAGGTTTTGAGGTCTCTGGTGTCTGAACAGCTGCAGGTGTTCTCAGTAAATTAAAACCTGCAGCCCGCTGGCCTGTCGGAGAGATTTCGATGCTCCAGTCTGAGGAACGACCTGGCTGACTTCTGGGTTATTTAATCCTGGAGCCTCTGTGCTCTACATGACTCCGGGTCTTCGTTTCCCAGATACTAATTGTTATTCACACAGATGGCACGCATCAAAGTCAAGCTGGTTTTTCAGCAGACTTCAAGAGATAATCACGCCGCTCCTTCTCCCTCTAAAGACTTCCAGGATGACTATAAAGTTTTCATAGTTCTCTTCATCATTTCTATCAGTTACATCATCACTGTAAAGATCTGAGAACTACATGACCAGGTCCGTCCCTTCATCACATCCTCCTGCAGCACCAACATTTTATCATATTGCCACAAAATGTTTGCAAAACAGTTAAAAGATTTGTTGAAAATAGACTTGGTTTTTGTCCTGTGAGTGATGGGGGGGACATGGCCTAAAACTGATACCTGAATCTTGACCTGCAGAACTGGCACCACCTCATTTGAAACCTTGAAAGAGCAATGTGAAAAGAACCAAACCTGAACCTCTAGTACCTTTAATAAGTACCTTTAGAACCTTTAGTAAACACCTGAGACAGGTAGGCAGGTAGGCAGAGACACAATGAGATGCATTACCTGCAGCAGCTGACACACTGTGAGCTGATTAGACTAAAACCTGGACTGGTATAAATCTTAGCAGCTACTTTTAGCCTGAGGATGCTGTTGAATGTGGTCGGTGGTTTAATGGCAGTGAGTGGAGAACCAGCTCCACCTGCTGTTTACCTCCATCAACCAGTCGCCTCATGTTCACTCCGAGGAGGAGTCAAGACTTCACTCTGGTTTGACTCTTTGGGATAAGTCTGGATGGAAACTTGGCCACTGGTTGTGTGAGACCAGCTGAGCAGAAGAGTGAATTAGGTAAAATCATCTGAATGCAAAACTAGAACCTCCTCCTCGTGGTCGTATCCCTCCGCCACTCAGACCAGCTCCAGGTCACATCCTATTTATCCAGAGTCAGAGAAAACATGAACCATGTGTGTGAAGTTTTGTCATAATTTCTGTGAAGTCTTGAGTAATGGTTAAAGGGTTTTTTGAGGTCACACTGACCTTGACCTTGACCTTGACCCCCAAAATCTAATCAAGTCATCCTTTAGTCCTGGTGAATGTTCGTATTCCTTCAAGGTGTTACTGAGACATTGTGTCCACGAGAATGTGACAGACGGACAACCTGAAAACAAAATGGCTGCTCTGACTGTCGCCGGCGTGGAGGAATAACAAGCAGAGATAATCTTTCTCCTGTGACCTCTAACAGGAAGCTCTGCTGTAGGACGAACAGGTGTGTCTCCTACCTGCATCTTGTCTGAGTTCCCACCATGGGATTGGTTCGCCCGGCTGGCGCTCTGTGACGTCCTCTTTGCTGCGTCTCCATCGTCCTCCCCCTCCTCTTCCTCCTCACTCGACAGCACAACTGAAGATAAATGACAAATAATCTAAATCAATATCTTTAAATATGATAAATGATTCAGTCATGTGAATATTTGTTTATTTAATTTATCTGATATAAATTCTGAAGGAAAGAGCTGCAGGTGAATATTTACAGGGACTTGGAGCGTCTGTTGTGGATGTGATCAATAACTGGATTGATGGCGACAGGTTAGAGATTCTGATTTTTGTTTCCATTCAATCATATTTTCTTCTACTTTAATACCAATAAGAAACAGTTTATTTTATTGGTCTCTGGGTTCTGGTCTGACTCACTGGGCTCGGCTGGACTCTGTCTGGGTTTCCTCCTCAGTCGAAGCTGCAGGTTTGTCTTCCTCTCTCTGAACTCCCTCCACCTCTGTCTCTCCTTCTCCCTCACATCCTCCATCAGGTTGCTCCCGGCGGCGATCCACGCCGTCTGGTCCAGACTCCGCCTCCTGTCTGGCGCCGTCACCGAGGAGACGGAGGAGGAGGAGGAGGAGGAGGAGGAGGAGGAGGAGGGAGGTCTGTGGACGACGTTTGTAGACGGGGAGACGGAGTCATCCTCTGACGTGTGATCTGAACCCGAGACAGACGAGTTGTGTCTCTTCAGAGGAGAGTCGCTCTGAAACCAGGGTTCATTCATTTGGTTTATTATTCTACACACAGAGGAAAACACTGTGTAAAGAGCCACAAAAAGACAGTAAGTGGACACTGAGTTCAGCATCTAATGTCATTCATTTGTTTTAAACATCTTATGACTATTTAGTGTTTAACTTGTTAATATCATGATGATGAGTTTTCCTTGCATAGTTACAACTTTATTCTCAAACTGTTAAACGTCAGTGAAACTTTTTTCTGGTAGTTAATGTCCTGACTTCACCTCAGAACGAAAATCTAACGTTTCTCTTATTTTATGACTGTAGAGCGTCATGATTTTACATAAAACTAAAAAACACTCTCACAATATTTCAGCTCTACATGTAAAAATAAATGTACTAAAAAAACTTCTTCATAAAACACTGTTTTTTCCTTAAAGCTACAGCTTTTTGTCAAAATATCACATCATCTGAGTCTCTGCTGTAAACTGCTTTAAAGCTCCTGTTGGCCTGATGTTGCTCCACAGATGCTCTAACAACAGCAAAATAAAACTATTTTTACCCATAAAGCTGATACTGAGCTCCCTCTTATATAATTGTAATGTAATGTAATGACTAATTACCAAGCTGAGAAACCATGAACTGTCTCTCTGAGACCATAACTTCACTTAAATTTCAAACACGTCCCAGTGAAGTGTGAGTGAGTCTGTTCTTCCTGAACTAAAACAAAACCAGTTTGGCATCAGTTTCCTGAACTGAAGTTCATTTCAGTTTTGGTGGAGAGTTTGAGAGTTTGATGGTGAGTTCACAGAGCTGTCAATCATCTGCTCTCATGTGAAACCCTGCTCCCGACCTCTGAGCGTTACCTTCCCCTCAGCGGCATCCCATCCTGACTCGACTCTCCTCCACTGTCTGGCTCCCAGCGGCGAAGGACTCCGACTCCCAGCATGCTCCTCACCTCGCAGCTTTGCCAGAGAGTCCACGGACGCCACAGAGATGCTGTTACCTGACAAGGACGAACCTGGAGTCGAGATGACTATCAGTTACTTTAAAGGTAACGTCCTGTACAACCAGCTAATAAAGATGTAATAACTGATTTTTATGTCTGAGAATAAACAAACAAATAAACAAACTTTTTGCAATAAAGTTGCAAAAGTCAAAAGTTTCATTTTCACAAGTGAAACAGAAACTGAAAGTGTAAATGTTTCTGGTGAAAAGTGATTTTCACATGTTATGGAAAACTGCTGCTGAAATAATGAATACTGTAACAATAATAACAATAATAATAATAATATTATATGTCCATGTGTTTATGTGCACATCTACTTCATTAATGTTCTTTAATGAAGCTGCCAATTCAAATCTCACCAGAGGATTCATCAGTTTTCTTCTTCTGTGGTGGAGACAGATGCTCTGAGGTCACTTCAGGCTGCAGCAGTCGGTGTGACGCTCTCTTAGGACGCCATCTGGTGGATGAAACATGGGACAAAGGTTCAGTGAAAACAACTCACTGCACAGATCTCCATTTAAAACAGACAAGTGGATGTGACTTTAACCTGCTGAAAAGCACTAAAGTTGTTGAGTTAAAAATGTGATAGCAGACAGGAGAGGCAGGAGGAACTTTAAAGTTTCTGGACTCTTGTGGCGCTCCTACTTTGTTTTCTGGACTTGTTTCTGGAACAAGAATTTTTGTATGAAGATTCTCCACAGTGGAGAATCTGTTGTGTTGATTGTGTAAAGACTGCGGAGGAAGTGAAGCGTGAGTCTCCTGGTTCTGTGTAGACGTGGTGTGAGAGTTTCAGACTCCAGGCTCAGGGATTCAAACCAGAAACTTTTGACACCAGCTTCTGTGAACTCACAGTGAAGACGACTCCGCTCTCTGTCGCGGCTGTGACTGGCTGCTCGAGCTTCCTGGTGATCTGTGATTGGCTGCTGATGCTGCACCTCTGTTGGAGCAGGTGAGTCCCAGCAGCGTTTTCACCACGTTCCTGAACAGAGGTTTACACGGCGTTCTGAACGGACATGACAAAAACCATCTTTAGAAGTGTTTTAATTCACATCAGGTTCAGTACGCCTCTGAATCTTCAGTGTTGTTTTCTGGTGTGATGAACTCTACACGCTATAGGAGGCGTTGTACAAACCTCTGTCTGTTTGTAGAGGAGCCAAGTGTGTTCCCAGCATGCATCCTGTCAGCTCCCCCTCTGCTGGACTGATCCCCATAAGCCTGTTCAGACAAAACAAGACGGGCCTGAATCCAACTCTTTCTAGTCTCTGTGTTCTCTTCAAATACAGTGTACCACCTTAAAAGACCACCTTTAGAAACATTAACAAATCTGTAGCGTCACCTTAAAGGAACCACCTGTCTTTAGAGAAGATGACAGATCAGTAATACCACCTTAAAAGGACCCTACAGTTCGGACAGACCCCTTACAGAGACACTGACAGATGAATAATACCACCTTAAGTTGTGGGGCAGGGCTCTGGAGGCGGGAAAGTGGTGACTGCAGGTGCACATGGGTGGAGTCAGAACCTGTTGGCTGTTTCTTCTTCGGGATTTTGAAGACAGACGCCATCCTGTCAACAACACAGAAAACACACTCAGGCCAGACCTCGAACAGAAAACATACAGAACTACTGCAACAGTCCCATCTGGCTGCAGTGTGGACATCATGCAATTGAAAGAGGTCACCATGCCAACATCCATTACAAAAACCAGACTTTGTAACGTGGTGTTACCGGATGTAATGAAATATGGTTAAAACACTCAAAACTGAGACCTCGCTTCGATCAATAAACTAACTGTTTCTGTACAGATGCTAGCGCAGAAAATAACAATCCAAAAATGAGACAAACCAAATAACAATAGAGGATCAATCTGGTTTTTGTGCTTCTGCTCACAAAGTTAGACCTGAAATGAATTATTAAATACTGTATTAACCCTGTTGTCTTCTACCATACACCATCATTAAACATTTATCCTACAACTAAGGCTGACAGATAAGTTTTACTCTTCAGGGAGCAGTTTCAGTCTTGCTTGGCTCGGGGACTCTTGGAGCTCAGGAATTGAACCTGAGACCTTTTCCCGCCACCTATCACAGCAGCCAGTCCTTTAACAGGAAACACACAAACTACTGGGAGAATCATATCTGGCTGCTGCAGGGAGACGATCAGTTCCCCCAACAAAACATTCAAAAACAAAAGGTTTTTTAACGCAGCATCGCTCATTATGATAAAACTTGAAATTCTGAACTATCAGGATTTATTCTGTCATTTGGGTTTGGGGTGAAATTCACCAAAACAGCTATTTACGTAAACTGAGTGTAAAATTATTCAGGCCTTGGTCATTTTAGTCTCAGTTCAACCACTGAATATGATGCTGCGGTCGCTAGCTGAGCGCGCGAATCATGTATAAAAGTACATGTTTTTACAGTATAAGTTCTAGTTAGTGGATTATTTGTGAGCCGAATTTACCAGAAGGTCTTCCACTTTAATATAAAGTCTTTACTCGTATCCCACTGTGTGTGTTTGTTTCATCTTACTGGAAAAATGTTGAATGGCGATATTTGTTAGCGGGGATCCTGCTGGGGGGTAGCCTCAGTAAAAACCCAGCTCCACTGAAACCTCAGCCAAAGGAAAGTGTTAACTATCAGTTGAATATTTATATGAAACTGAGCAATGACAGCTCTGTTAACAGAAACTTAAGGCAGCTTTCAGACTCTAAATTTACCAACCTTATGTCAGCCGGCGGAGCTAAGCTGCTAGTTAGCCGGTGAGCTAAGTTAGCTGATGTCTGGCTTCTTGTTAAACGCTCGTAAACTCTCCGGCAGGTTCATGTGGTGGGAAGCACGCGCTGTCTGCTGGGTAAAAAGTGAAAAAAAATATATTTTAAAACCACATTTTTATCATTTCTGTCCGCTGCCGGTCTGAGCTGACGACGCTGTCCTCAAAGACTTGAAAGAAGTGAAATGACAACAACCGCTGCGCACAACAGCGTGATTACGTCACTGAAAACGTAAATTTGATTTAGCTTTATTTAAAAACACCTGTTTACAAAAGACAAAAGTGCAAATAATTTATTAACAAACTCACCTGTGCTTGGACTTTAAAAAGACAAAAGACAAGAAAATGACGGAATCTTAAAAATAAAAGTCAACATGTTTATCCTGTAATAATCGTAGCTTCATCTTTAAAGAAAGAAGTTTACAAGAATCATTTAGAAGAGAGAAAAATAACCTGTTTTAACTCATGAACCTGAAAATGTGTTTGAGTGAAAGAGACAGACATGTAGAGACTGAACTATCTGTTCAACAGTGAGAACGTTTCTCTCTCTGCTACGTTCAACACAGAGACACTGAGGAACCAAACGACCAGAACCCAAACCCAGGATACAGAGGTTCAGTGAAGGTGGTGTTGAAGGTGTGGAGGTGAATCAGTGAGTCAGAGGAGACTCCGTAGAAGGACAGAGAGCCAGCAGGACAATCCACATACACCGCTACTCTGTTAGGGACAGAGGAGGAGGAGAACAACCTGGAGAAGATGGAGGAGGAGGAGGAGTAGACAGATGTTTTTCTGTCATTGTGAAAGACAGAGTAACCAACATCAGAGCAGTACAGACTCCAGGACTGATCGTTCTTTCCAAACTCACAGTCTTTACTGTTTCCTTTTCTGCTGATTCCTCTGTAACTCACTGATATTTCAACCCCTCCTCTCCACTCAACCTCCCAGTAACAGTGACCAGTCAGACCAGTTGAACACAGCAACTGAGGACACTGGTCAAATCTGTCTGGATGATCAGGATATGACTGATCCTCCTTCACATGTTTCACCTTCCTGTTGTTGTCAGACAGTTTGATCTGTCTGTTCACTGTGTTTGTGTCGATTGTGAGTTCACAGGAATCTGATGGAGAGAACAAGACACAGCTGCAGTTATTGATCATCTGATCAGTTATTGACAGTTTGATGAAGACTCCTGACATCAGTGATGTGACAGTTTGAAGATGGTTGAATGTGCTGCTTTGTTTTCATCGATCACATTAAAAACACACTTACACTTCCTCAGACCTGGTGTCAACCATCGGACTCCACCAGGCTCCGCCCTGAAAGGAGGAGGGGGGTCAGACCAGCACGTTCTCTGTCAGCATGCACACATGGACATTACATGGCTCTCATACACAGACTGTTTGATTACTGTGTTCAGATGGAGGCTTGTGTGTATGGATGTACATTGACCACAGAGAAACAGGAAGCGGAGTCTTCATCTTTAATGATACAGAGCAGGGAGGAGACATGGAGAAGACACTTCATCACCTTGTCTAATAGTAAAGTCTGCACCTGCATAAAGTCCCTCCTCTCTCAGACAGTGTGTGTGTCTGCAGCAGGCCTCTACATACCTGAGAGTCTCCAGTCTCCAGTCTGGATCCTCCAGTCCAGCAGACAGAAGCTTCAGTCCTGAGTCTCCTGGATGATTGTAGCTCAGGTCCAGCTCTCTCAGGTGGGAGGGGTTGGAGCTCAGAGCTGAGGCCAGAGAAGCACAGCCTTCCTCTGTGACCAGACATCCTGACAGACTGAACACACAAAACAACACACAGGAACCCTCTGTCAACACCTGCTGCTCTGTTAAACTGTCATCAGATAAACAGGTTGATGGATCCTGACCTGAGAGTCTCCAGTGTACAGAGTGGACTCTCCAGTCCAGCAGACAACAGCTTCACTCCTGAGTCCTGCAGGTCGTTGTTACTCAGGTCCAGGTGTCTCAGACTAGAGGACTGGGAGCTGAGGACTGAGGACAGAGCTCCACAGCTTCTCTCTGAGAGGTTACAGCCACTCAGTCTGAAGAGATGATCATGAGGAATTAAAGAAGAAAGGAAGTTATTTTCTCTCCTGTTGAAAAGACAGAAGTGTCTTTATATAATGATGAATAAATCAACTCTCTCTACACTTACAGAGCTTTGTTAGAGGCTTTGACCACTGGCAGCAGCTTCAGAAGAGCCTCCTCTGAAGCAGAGTATTTCTTCAGGTCAAACACGTCCAGATCTTCTTCTGAGGACAGTAAGATGAAGACCAGAGCTGACCATTGAGCAGGAGACAGTTTATCTGTGGAGAGACGTCCTGATCTCAGGGACTGTTGGATCTGCTCCACTAGAGAACGATCATTCAGTTCATTCAGACAGTGGAACAGGTTGATGCTTTTCTCTGCAGAGGGAGTCTCTTCAATCTTCTTCTTGATGTACTGGACTGTTTCCTGATTGGTCTGTGAGTCACTTCCTGTCTGTGTCATCAGACCTCGTAGGAGAGTCTGATTGGTCTGCAGTGAAAGACCCAGGAGGAAGCGGAGGAACAAGTCCAGGTGTCCATTTGGACTCTGTAAGGCCTCGTCCACAGCTCTCTGGTAGAAGTTTGTCTCTGCAGATTCGTCTCGTCTTGGTTCAGACTTCTTGGAGGTTGATTGTTCTTCTGACATCAGATTGAGTCCAGACTTGATGAAGGTCAGATGGACATGAAGAGCAGCCAGAAACTCCTGAACACTCAGATGGACGAAGCAGAACACCTTGTCCTGGTACAGGCCTCTCTCCTCTTTAAAGATCTGTGTGAACACTCCTGAGTACACTGAGGCTGCTCTGATATCGATGCCACACTCTGTCAGGTCTGATTCATAGAAGATCAGGTTTCCTTTCTGCAGCTGCTCAAAAGCCAGTTTTCCCAGAGACTCAATCATCTTCCTGCTCTCTGGACTCCAGTGTGGATCTGTCTCAGATCCTCCATCATACTTGACCTTCTTCAGTTTGGACTGAACCACCAGGAAGTGGATGTACATCTCAGTCAGGGTCTTGGGCAGCTCTCCTCCCTCTCTGGTTTTCATCACCTCCTCCAGAACTGTAGCAGTGATCCAGCAGAAGACTGGGATGTGGCACATGATGTGGAGGCTTCGTGATGTCTTGATGTGGGAGATGATCCTGCTGGCCTGCTCCTCATCTCTGAACCTCTTCCTGAAGTACTCCTCCTTCTGTGGGTCAGTGAACCCTCTGACCTCTGTCACCACGTCAACACACTCAGGAGGGATCTGATTGGCTGCTGCAGGTCGTGTGGTTATCCAGAGGCGAGCAGAGGGAAGCAGTTTCCCCCTAATGAGGTTTGTCAGCAGCACGTCCACTGAGGTGGACTCTGTAACATCAGTCAGGATCTCAGTGTTGTGGAAGTCCAGAGGAAGTCAACACTCATCCAGACCGTCAAAGATGAACACGACCTGGAACTGATCAAACCTGCAGATTCCTGCTTCTTTGGTTTCAGTAAAGAAGTGATGAACAAGTTCCACCAAGCTGAACTTTCTCTCTTTCAGCACATTCAGCTCTCTGAAGGTAAATGGAAATGTGAACTGTATGTCCTGGTTGGCTTTGTCTTCAGCCCAGTCCAGAGTGAACTTCTGTGTTAAGACTGTTTTCCCAATGCCAGCCACTCCCTTTGTCATCACTGTTCTGATTGGTCCGTCTCTTCCAGGTGAGGCTTTAAAGATGTCTTCTTGTCTGATGGTTGCTTGTCCTCACACTGATCCATGCTGCTGAGTTCACATCCACATCAGCTCACACACACTTTCTACCTTCATGTGGAGAGAAATACACATCATTCATCTGCACATCAACTCAAATGTACATCATTTCTCCAGCTGCTCCTCCACTGATTGGCTCTTCCTCTCTGTTTCATATGAGTGTGAGGCAGAGGAAGCTGCCATCAGCTGCTGTACTTCTACCATCCGTCCACTAGATGGCGTCATGAAGCTGCAGTGACGTGAAGAGCAGCCCAGCAAACACACGGGATCATGGACGATCATTAACATCTACTGACTCACTGAGTTTATCTGACAGTCTATGTCTAATGCAGTACAAGTATAAAGTACTAGAACATGGAAACACTCCAGAGAAGTACAAGTACCTCAGAACTGCACTAGAGTACATGTGCTCAGTTACTCTGAAGAATCTGATTCTGATTATTGATCCAGCAATGAGAAATTAGTAATAAATAAAGTCTCAGTAAAGCTCTGACAACAACATGACATGTTCAGTACTGATCAGTGATAGGGAGTAACAGCCAGTATTGATCAGTGATAGGGAGTAACAGTAAGAATTGATCAGGCTAATATTCATGTGAAACATAAGAAGCGACACTACTTCCTGTTGCAGAACCAGGAGCCTCTGACTCATGTGATGTGGTGTTAACTGTCTTTCTGAACATCATATAGCGCCTTAAAAACCCTGTCAGCCCCTCAGCCCGCCACACTGAGTCCACATCAGTCCTGCCATGTAAATCTAATGACAGACCACTCACCCACAGAGAAAGTCACAGCTGTTCTCCAGTCATCAGTAAGTGGAGCTACACAGTAATAACGACTCTGTGTTCAACTATTGACCATCAACTAACTCTGTTTCTACTCTTATTCCACCGCTTCTACTGAAAACATCAACACAACATGGCGGACACATTATTGTGTTAACAAGTAAACCATTACAAACTGTTCACATTACCTTCAGAGGAGAAAATAATAAGCGTCACAATGGTAGGTGAAAGTGAAACTAAACTTCAATTAGGGAACGGAGGGCGGGGGAGTAAAGAGTAAAATACAGAACAGAAACTTATCGACAGAAAAGTTAAGGACATGTTAAGTTGTAGTTTGACTTTGTTTAGAGACACAAACGTTTAGAAACAACCAAACTCCTGGAGGTTTAGTGAAAAGTCGGTGTTTGTTGGAGAGAAACCAGGTCACTTTCACTGTGTTTTATAGTTGCTATGGTAACAGAGTGCAGCGGGAATGAGTTAGCATTATAGTACTTTCGGTTCCATCATCCGTTAGTCTATGGGTTTCAGGCGCTATGTATGATTTTTGCTATCACTACATAGCTAACGTTAGCATTAGCAGGTGTTTACTTACCAGTCTAGAAGAAACGTTGTGAGTTCACCATCAAACTTCATTCCTTTACTCACCAACATCTGTCTCCAGAGGTTGAAAGAAACACCAGTGTCAACTCTTCTCTCTGTTACGTCTTTTCTTCAAATGAAGTTAGCATGCTAACCAGCTAGCCGCGGCCAGTATTGTCACTGTAGCCTCCAGTCTGCCCTGAAGACGAAGCTGCTCGGTCACCAGTGTCCTTAAAAACATGAGTCTTGCTTTTAAAAAGCTGCTGTGACTGTGAACAAGTTACTAAATGTGTAATATAGCGCCCCCTCCTGATAAAAATAGGACCCGAAACACCATGTGTTTCTCTGACGACAAATCAGCATCGCATTAGAAGGGTCAGAGTCTTAGGCTAAATAAAGATGGATGTTAGCCTCCGTGACGTCACCCATAGGTTTCTGAAGCGCGAACTGTAAACTACCACCGTGGCAATCTTGCCAGTAACTGACTCCGTCGAACTCACGGCTAATCATGGATGTATTATAAAAATTGTTCTTTGTAAACTGACTGACAGAGAAATACTCTGAGTATTTACTGCCCCCTGTGGTCACACTGAGTCACTACAACACTACGTTACACTGATGTAACAAAGTTAGATATGAAACAACTTATTAAGTACTGTATTAACCCTGTTGTCTTCTACCATACACCATCATTAAACATTTATCCTAGAAATGTCTCTAACAGTAAAAATGTCACAGTGGATGAAAGAATACCTCAAATGTTGGAGGAGCATTTTCACAACTAAATACATGTCTCTGCAACATAATTAATCATAATGAATTTCCTGCATGTTGTGTTATGTAGAAAACATCAGGCCTGTTGTTGGGACAAATATTAACCTTTGTTTCTAAAACTGATTTGGTAAAAACATGAGATTTAAACATACATACATATTTAGGAAAGTCTGGGCAGTTTTCTTTCCAGATTTTAAGCATTGTCACTGGAGTGAGACTAAATTTATGAATTCATTTCAAGTTTGCTTTTTTAAAATTTTGTTACTAGTAAATTAGAAACATATTCTGTTGCAGATACATGCCCACTTATCTGATATATCCTTAATAAATGCATTTAGTTAAGGGGCAGTTGTCACTTTCTAACTCAATTTAAAATGTTGTTTCTTATTTTAGGGTTAATCCTGAAATTCAAGTGAGACCAAAAGAACACAGACTGTCTTTGTCTTTTCTCAGACCTTTCAAACAAACTGTGACAGTGTTTGAGTTTGAACTGAATCAGCTCAGTCGTCCTCAGATTCACTGAAAGACAAAACACTGATACTCACAGGAGGCTCTTATTGTGAAAAGACATGGAAATGAAAGCCAGAATACTAAAAAATAAATATATCATAAAATGATCTTAA